TTTTGGCAGCGATGGTCTTGCCTGATGTCGGTGATGATACACGTGCACGTGGCCGTCGTGCCATACCTTTCATGTTCCTACTTGTTAGTTTCTTCAGATGACGATGATGATGTTCCATGTCTTGCGATACTTATGTTCATGAAGTTTCGCCGATGATGATCTTTAGATGATGAACTTGAGTATGTTTAGATGATGATGATCTTGAGTATCTTTAGATGATGAACTGTCATATTTCTGCATAGTCCCATATTTTCTGGTTTGAAATGCTGCCAAAATGAATTGAAATAGAGAAAATAGAGAAAATAAAAAAACAACACAGATCTATGCCGACGGCATATGCACAGGACAGCCCAGTGGCTGCCACGTGGCAGGGATATGCTGACGGACAAGCCGTCGGCATACCCCTGCTGCCAGAAGCTCCCAGAGGCTGCCCTGTGGCAGAGATATGCCGACGGCTTGGCCGTCGGCATATCTCTGCCACGTGGTAGCCCGTGGTTTGTCAGCGCGTTTGACGATGCCGTCCGTTGCCGTCAGGTGGAAATCACTGCCGACGGTGATGATATGCCGACGACATAGGCTCCTATGCCGACGGTCTGACAAGACTACGCTAACGTGATCTATGCCGATGGGGATATGCCGACGGCTGCCGTCGGCATAGACCTAAGCCGACGGCAAATGGCCTATGCCGACGGCTCGGGGCCTTCGGCTTAGGGGGCGAGTCCGGTAGTGATTCGAAAAACACCACAGCAGTAGCAACTACAGTTGCTTCTCCTAATGACTCCGACGAAGAATTCACAACAGATACAGCTCTTGGGCCACTATTGATGGGGTGATAAGAGAGAAGAACTAACAATGACACAAGTCACTCTTCACGGAAGCATGATTCACATCACGGAGAATTATAAACAGAAGACTAGCAAAAGTGCCCGTGCGTTGCAATGGGAGAAAAGAATATGACACACTCTTAATTTACAAAAAAATGGTCTATAATCTGAGTATTTGTAGCTACGGCCCAAACAAAGATAGTTTTTGCCTACAAAAGCGCAAGTTCAAGATTCCACATGTCTTCTATTTAAACAAGGCTTGCATGTAGATTTAATACGTATATGAAAGAAAGACGGATAATGCACTGTTGATTAAGATTTCACTCTAGATAGTATTTTTTTAAATGGTTAACAGGTGAAATAACATCATATTCAGATTCTATATATTTTTCTAATCAAATTCCATATATAACATGTTAAATTTGGAGTTACGGTTTAGAAAATATGAGTATTTTAAAAAACAATTGATATGCACTGCGGGTTTAATGTCAGAAACATCAGGGGGTTTTCTATAAAAGGCATGACGGACTAAGAATATCTATTTCCTTTATTAGTAGGTATAGATATGATTAATCCGCAATTTTGATGCCAAGAAAGGATAATAACTTTGAAATGTGGAGTCGTTAGGACAAATCTAGCATGATCACTATATCAACCAGATCGACATAATAATCATCCGTATATGTACAATCTACATTTTTACAGACTTTTCTGTTTTTACACATTGTTGTTATAGTTTCTTTATCTGCTTGTGTTTGCAATTTTGCCAAGCCCCATTGATGTTGGAGTATTATATTTGGGTTATCATACAATAGGTAATGTTGAATTATAATTATACAATATTGTTACATCAAGACATGATAGGATTTGATGTTATATGTACTTACCTCTCTAATAAAAGTTTGATTAAGTTTTCTGTGGATGAAATATTCGAAGGCCGAGGAGATTGATATGAGAAGAATAAGGAGAGGCGACAGTTTAAGCTTGGGGATTCCCAAGGCACCCAAAGTAAATATTCAAGGACACTCAAGCATCTAAGCTCGGGATGTCCCGGATGACATCACATCTTTCTCCCTCAGTAATTATCGGTATGTATCAATTTTTGTTTTGTTCACATGATATGCGTAAATTCTTGGAGTGCCTTATGTTTTTTATTTTTATTTTAGTGATGCACCATCCGGGTATGAAATAGTCCTTTGTTGATTTATAAAATGCTCTTTGCACTTTATTTATATTTTTTGAGTATGACTTTATAGAATGATTCGTGTGCTTCACTGGTATCTTTTCAAGTTTGATGCTGACTTCTCTACATTTCGGACACCATTATTTGTAGAATGCTCTTTTGCTTCACTTATATTTGTTAAAGCTTGTCCGAGTCTTTTATAAACTCTCACGCTTCACTTATATCTATTAGAGAGTTATGACAGGAATTAATCATTCACATGGCTAGTCATAAAATCCTAAATAAAACTTGTAGATCGTTGAATATGATAAGTTTGATTTCCTGCAATAGTTTTGCGATATTAAGATGGTAATATGTGGGTGTATTAAGATGGTAATTTGTAGATCACTGAACATACTAAGTTTGATTCCATGTTGTCGGAACGAATATCCGCCGGCGCCGGACGTAGACTAATTTTATCTTAGTCCGGTATCATTTTTAGTTAAAAATATGTCCAAAATATAAATGTTTTCATCAAGTTTGTATAAAATTCACCGTGTTTGCACGAATTTCGCCCGTTTGGTTTAAAAAGCTGTTGAAG